TATATATATATGTCATATACAAGTTTGATAGGATTTTATTCATTCCAAGAATACAACTGTCAAGAGAGAATACAAGGGTGTATTTAGTAGCAAACAACTGCAGCCAAAGTCCATTGATGAGCGCAAAAGATTCCATTTAGAAGAGACTCGGCGACTCCAGAAACAATTACTCTGTACATGCTCGTCCGTGTGCATGTGTCCTTGTATATATATATATATATATATATATATATATGTCATATACAAGTTTGATAGGATTTTATTCATTCCAAGAATACAACTGTCAAGAGAGAATACAAGGGTGTATTTAGTAGCAAACAACTGCAGCCAAAGTCCATTGATGAGCGCAAAAGATTCCATTTAGAAGAGACTCGGCGACTCCAGAAACAATTACTCTGTACATGCTCGTCCGTGTGCATGTGTCCTTGTGGGTACCGACACAAAGATAATCAACGGCAGGTTGTTCGACAAGTCACATGCGTCAATGCAAGCAAATCAGCGGTGTACCCCGCAGCTGCAGTGAAAGAACACATTTGCTCGTGGTCGTCATAATTCGTGCATACAGTAAAGCTGACAGGGAAGCAATAATTTAAGAGTACCATTCAAGGCAACACAAGCCATGAATCGTTAAATGTGAATATGAGCCTTTACAGGACGCCCCATGTACTTGAGAGATGCGTGCCCATTAACTGAAGCCCGTCGTAATAAATAGTTCCACCTCTGCATGTGAAGCTCCGAGGAGGACTACATCGGTGGAAAGCCTAACAGCCAAGGCAGAGGCGGTATTTTTGCCTCCTTTTGATGTTAATCGCTGCTCAAATCTTGACTCCACAGTCTAATTTGGGAATCAAAATAAGTGGGGAAACGTCTGAGCAGCTGGAAATAAGAGCAGCATCCTTTGTTTCTCTGGAGGTGAAGGGGCGTTGCGTACAAGGCCACCTTATTTTTTATTTTTTTACTCTTAATTACTTACCATGATGTACTACTCCTTTCAAACCCTGGATGATGGGCTCGACAGCTGGGTTATCTTTTTGCCCGAGCTGCAAGAAACAGAAGAGATTACAAATGATCACGACACGGGGACAATTGCTGATTGTCAGGGATTCATGGTAACATTTATTTACAAAATAAAAACAGTCAGAAAATATATCATTCCATTGGACAATATCATTACAAAACGACCCAAAACTTTCATTGTCATGTCACAGACAACCAATTTATTATCTAATGATTTATTAATGAATGACATTTTTTTTTACGGTTTACAATAGCATTCCTCTCCTACAAACACATAGGTTGGAATAAATCAGTCATTATTTGGATGTAAAAAAACCCCAACAAGAACAGTTTGGCTCCTATGCCAGTACTGTCATGAACCAAAAACCTCATGAATTTTTGGAATGCCTGTCCATGACCCAGTTTTGGGTCCCGACCCTGTTCTAAAGGATCCGTAGCAACTTCAGAGTCTTGTGCCACTTTCCTGTGTCATCAATAAAAATTCACTTCAACTCAAGGGTATGACTATTTTTGAGTCTAGCTATGTATCCTTGGAGACATTTCATTACTTTATGGGCTTTATGAGGCTTCTTTGGTTGCTGTTATTCAATGTGACTTTTGTCATTCAACAACCATGGAGGAAGAGAAAATCTCACGGGGACAAATGCCATTTTATCCTTTCTTTATGGTTACGAAATCTGTCCATAAGTGCTCAAATTCACTTTGCGCAACGCTATCTATGTCCTACATAGGGCGTTGAGAGAGCACACACACACACACACACACACACACACACACACACACACACACACACACACACACACACACACACACA